GACAACCGACCGAGATACCCGGATCCCACGTTAAGCAAAGGCTGCTCGAGCACTAACGTCTCCCGGACAAGATACGAAGACGTCTACAGAAGATTTAATATCCACACGTACATACTGCACGTATCGTATCGACCACCATGCCGAAGCACGGTATATGATCATCGCTCTTGCTTAACGTCAGCTCTGATGGGCCTAGATAAACCTGGTTAAGACATCAAAAGGAATGCGTAAAATATGCACAGCCACGTTTTGGATAAAAAGTGTTAGGTTCGTCACTAGGTATGGTTTAAACTATAATGGTTTTACCTTAGTCGATAAACGCGAATGAGACAATGAACCAGAGTCCAGGTAGGCTACCTTGATTCCAAAACGGCAAAACAGAAGTCTTGACAAGCGTAGAAAGTATATTCTACAAACAACCAGAAAGCACAATACAACCAAGCACACAGATCTCGTTTATTTATACACCATAGAAACGTCCGTGGGACAGTCAGAAAAAACAGCATACCAAAATACCACTGCAGCCAATGATTTTCCTGGTGGGAACTGAAATCTCAAGGTCAACTGATCAGCCCTTACTCGCAAACTTGAAATCCAAAATAAAGCATTTATCAAGCGAGTTCTGGGGATCTAACGTCCCTAACACAAAGGAACTTTGACGGACGAACGGGAGATAGATTTATGGGGGGTTGGTTGGTTTGAATTCCTCACGGCCTCGTAACTATGGACACCTACCAATGCATTACAACAAGATATTAATGACCTTATCGATAAATAAAAAAATCGATTCATCCTTATTAGTACAGTTTAAAAATTCTAACTAAACAATTAAGCATAATTCACCTTGGCAATATTATTAATTTCTAAAACAATTTAGAGAAATTTTATTCAATTTAAGGTGAAACTATGATAAATCATTCCATACAACACATTTGTACAGCAGTAACAAACAAAAGAATAATAATTCTTATGCTTTGTAATGAAAAAGGGAGGATTATGAAAAAATGCTTGACATGAGTTACTGAAATTGGAAACAAGACCATACAACAGTAACATGCATTGTCTGAGTAGTAGTAGGATTACGTTATGAAGTTTTTCGTTAATAAATACAGTAGAAAGAAGTAAGTTTATTCTGTCAACTTGCGATGGAAAGGATTGTTTTGCAATTTTGCATAAATGATGTCGTTAGGGCTGGCCTTGTGACGCAGTTCGGTGATTTCCTCAATATGTGTTCTATGCACCTCCAGCGTATCTTCCTGAACCTGGTTTGTTCTCTCCCACAGTAGGTTGTTGTTGAGGGTATCTGACCGACGGATCAGCAGTATGTTGTATAGACAACTGTGAATGATGACGTTTGTAATTCTCGGAGTTTCAGCTCCATAGAGTGAAACTGTCCTGTCTTATGCATTGAAAATTCTGACTTTGGTGTTGGCTGATACAGTTGTTTTGAGTTCCAAATGTTATTCGATTGTAGAAATACTGGCCTTACTTTGACATTCTATGCCTTTACATAGGCACCTTGTTTATTAATGATGCTGTCCAAGCATGCAAACGTTTCTACATTTTCCACAGCTTCTGTGTAAAGCCTGACTTCATTAATACAAGTTTTGCTGTATTTGAGTGTCTTGTTTTTTCCCACGTGTATGTTGAGACCGATTGTAGTTGCACTGAACGTCTTCTCCTGTATTTGTTGTTGTGTCTGATTGAAGAGCTAGGTCGTCTGTAAAGTCTAAATCATCCAGCTGCACTCATGCTGTCCTTTGTATTCCGTCTTGATAATCCAGTCGACCATCAGAAGGAAGAGCAAGGTGGAAAGTAGGCAACACTGAAATTGGTGTTCACTTGAAACGACCGCGATCTGTCCTTCGTGACAGTGTAATCCGTCGTAAGAATTTCGTATGATAGTGAAAATCTTCGAAGGTGCTCAATCGTGTCGAAGAATGTTCCATAAGATACTCCTGTCAACAGTTTCAAATGCTTTCTCGTAATCAAGGAAGTTGATTTATAATGATGAGTTCCATTGATTGTCCTACAATGATCCGTACAGTCACGATTCGGTTGATAAAATAATTGAAATAATATTCATCACTGGAAGGTGAGTAGATTCTAGATTTCATCCTGTAGTAATGAATGAAGACACTAGGACCAGATGTAATAATGATACATTGGGAGTAGATACAATTTATTAACAAAATATGTACACCTAATCTCCAGATTCCCATTTGCAAATCAAGCAGATTATTGACTGTCTTCTTTTTCTGGTTTGCAAAACACTTTGACTGCGCCATGCATTCCAACTCCATAATCTACTTTTCGACAGTAACATTTGCGTGAAACTACACGGTACACTACTTAGAAACTGCGTTGCAAGTAGTCTCCACAACATGGAATTAAAAATGTAAGGTAACGAATAAGCTGAGTTCTATTTTAATGTGATTTTTTAATCAATATTATTTTCTAAATAATTAAAATAGTTTCAAATTAACAAACCTACCCCCGAACCATTTCTAAGATAGATTTACCTTCGAATCATCAATCAATCATTGTTCCACCACCGTTAGAAACCTAGAAGCAATGGACGATAGTCTAGTCCTGGTATGGGACTCATCAGCATTGCGCATCCACGACTCCTGCACCTGGCAGGATTCGAACCCGGGACCTTCGGCATTGCGCGCAAACGACTAACCTCTGGACCAGTGGGCCGGTATCCAACGGTGTTATTACCAAACTCTGACCAATCTACAGATTTTGTGCAACCTCACCCATTGGTATGTGGTAGTTACTGCTTACACTCGAAAGGGTTGAACTCCACTGGTCAAATCTTCTCACTAGAACTCCAAGAATTTCCTCACGAAGCTAGTCACTAGTAAGCAGCATATTTTACGATTTTTCAATTAAAGTTATGAAGATTAGTGTATTTCGCACATTGAAATCATCAATCAATCATTGGTGTAGAGGTAATGCGTTCGTGCGCAAGACCGAAGTTCTTGGGTTCGTATCCTGTGAGGTGCAGGAGTCGATGATGCACACTACCGATGAGTCCTGTGCCAGGACGAAACGTCCGTCTTTCAATGCTTCCGAGTTTCTGAATGGTGGTCTAACAATGATTGATTGATGATTTCCGAGTGTAAAAAACACTAATCTCCATAAATCTAACTGAAAACTAGATTTACCTATCTATGGATAACTAACCAAACATTTGTATGTTAACCCAACGATTGATCAGAGACTGTAACTGACCTTAAATAATATTAAGCACACGCCCAACTGCTAATTAAATTTATTCACAAATAAGAAATTTTCAGGACATACAATTTATTCAACTACATAAAACACAGAAAAGTAAAACAAGTCAAGTCAACAAGAAATTAATTATCAGGGTACTGATATTCTCAAGTAACCACAGTTAAGGTTCATTACCAAAATCCTGTTTTGATCATTTCAAATCGACTAAGCGCTCAGTGAAGTACCTTGTCAAAGTATAATGAAATTACAAAAAATCGAGTCCTTAAAATATACAGAATTAAAGTTTACTACGACAAAAAGACTATTAAATTACGAAATGTTTAAAAGAAACAAGTCTTTAAATTACAATACAAAATCCATTTGACTACAGACTATGATGTGTGGATTGTAGATGTCTATACGTTTTTCGAATTATCATGAAAAGAAAACCATAGGATGAAGCCGAACGAACATAGGAATGAAATAGATCAGGTTTGATTCCTGATACGCTATGTAAACTGCTTTTTGTTTATCAATCAAAAGTAACTTGTAGAAGGATAACAGGTTTCAAGTTGAATGACATAACTTATTACACATACAGGTTATTTACTACGTCGGCAATTTTCATTCTAATGTAAGTGCGTGTAGGGTTCGTCACTAGGTACGCTTGAAGCTATCACGAGTTCACCAGCGTCCAGATAGGCCACCTTCAATCCCAAGCTGAAGATAGAAGGCTTTGTAAGCGTAGAAAGTATATTCAACAAACACCCCATAAATCACAATACAATCAAGCACACAACCTTCGTTTATTTATATATCATAGAAACGTCCTTAGGACAGTGATGAAAATAACACACTAAAATACACAGCAGCCAGTCACAGCCATGGATTTTTCTGGTGGGAAATGAAATTTCGAGGTCAACTGATCAGCCCATGCTGGCAAACGTGAAATCCAAAATAAGGCATTTAACAAGCGAGTTTTGGGGATCTAACATCCCCGAAAGTGCGTAGTGCTACACTTTAATGAAACAATTGTACTTGTTTCGATCAACTGCATCACTCCCTATGACATTCGAGACAGAATGATGTAATACTTTCAAATCTCTCATACAGCACAAAGCACATTTAGACTACTGAGTCCAATAATCCAATAATCTTGTTGTGGACGTTAGATCCCCAGAACTCACTTGAAACAGGTCCTAATATTGGATTTTCTGTGTTTTCGCGCATAAGCTGCTTAGTTGACCTTGAGATTACATTTCCCACCCGGAAAATCCTTGAATGTTATAGTTGATGGTTTATTTTAGTACGCTATTTTTGGTAGCCCCCCAAGGACTTTTCCGTCATGTATAAATAAGCTCAATGTGTATGCTTGTCGAGCTCGTATTTTCTGAGTGCTTGTAGAGTCAAGACTTCTTGATATAGTTAACCGGGCCGGGGACAAACGGATTAGAATAGCCTATCGTATCACTGCATCATTTGTCTTCGCTCTCGTTTACCAAATAAGGTGAACTCGTAATAGTTTCAAGCTATCAAATGATTGTATTGAAGTCTAATGTAAAGCTATACACTATGAAGTATATGTAGTTATTAGAAATTTCCAGAGAAGACTTCTCCGGAGGTTTTTTCATCCTATACTTGATATCCAATTTTCAAAAACAAACACACACTCACACATAATCACTGACAATAAGTCATTTCAATAAAGAAGTCAATTGTTTTCTTATGAATACTAACAACTACCTTTACTATTATTATTATGATGATGACGATGAAGAATATCACAGCTATGAAAAATTTGTGATGATTGAAATAAAAACAGAGAATTTTCTCTGTGAACAATTAACATTTTATTCGAAAAAACAAAAACCAAATCAAAAACAAACAACGAAATGACAAACTAATTCAGTGGAATCCTCAAAGAACTCAAAGAACGAACGAACGAACAGATTATGCATGAAACAGTTCATTCACACATAGAATGATGGCGATGATGACGATAGTGTTAAGTGTTAAGTTTTTATCCATATTTCTGCAACACTAGTATTGTTATCATCTTCCAATGATGGTTCATGTACAATCCAATAATATGTATCTGGTGTATAGTTTAAATGTAATTTTGATAAGCTTCCAATTAAATTTCTTGTTTGATTCATAAATTCATCTTGTGTCATTGATACAACAGTGAAACGTCTAAATAAAAAAAAAAGGGAATTCAAGATGGAAATGTTCTTGTTTAAGGCAAATAAACTATGAATGAACTAGTGCTGGATGACGAGACTGACATACATTCTCTTTATATTACAAGGCTTTATTATTATACACCACCACGAACTGCAAACGACCTGAAATTATATAGCAGCTTAAGAAAAGACAGACAGATACAACGCAGAACTTTGTATATAAGTACATCAGTCTAGGTTGTCATATCATATTAGCACACAGAGACGTAACTGTCAGTTCAAATCCAAGAATGATAGTGATAGTAGAAGTATTAGCAGTAATGGAGAAGATTAGGGAGCGAAGATATGATATCATTCGAGAAGTATAATTCAGTAAGATAAATTTACAAGGAGAAAGATAGAGATTATGAGGAATTCAGAAGCTTAGAATTTCATAGAACACAAACAGTGGATGCACTTGCGCCATCGCAAACGATTTTGAGCCATGTCGTTCAAGGTCTCTAACCATCGATTAATATCATCTCGCGGATCCCAACCAGATAGCCTACATCTACCAACATGACTCAGTCCGCTTGTCAGTGACTTCATGGATTTGTGCCATGTTTTAGTTTGGCCAGCTTAAGAACATATGCCGTAAAAGGGATAAGTCTCAACGATTAAAGTTTAAATTCAGCTTCAAAATATAAATAATAACTCATTTTAACTAATTTATCAACTCTATGATTTCCTGTTATTTTCTATATTTTGCATTTATATGCTAGTGAAAATTGTTGAGTTAATTTTTGAAATCATGAATTGATCATTATTGGAATACCATTTGGAAACCTGAAAGCACTACACGGGCATTTCGTCCTGGTATGGCGTATCTACGATTCCCGCCACTCACAAGAATCAAACCTAGGAGCTTCGGTCTTCCGCGAGAACGCCTTACCTCTACACCAATGATTGATTGATGATTTCAATGTGCAAAATACACTAATCTTCATAACTTTAATTGAAAAATCGTAAAATGTGCTGCTCACTAGTGACTAGTTTCGTGAGGATGCTCACGGAGTTCTAGTGAGAAGACGTGACCAATGGAGTTCAACCTTGCAGAGGCTGCCACTACACTGGTCGTAAATGTGTACTGTATATACCTAATAAAATAATTTTATACGCCATATATAAGCTTTGATTTCACAATTGGTATGTTCTGTCTAATAATGAGATGATTAGAAATCGATTATTTATTTATTTGCAATCTGTTTATCGAACTAGTGAGTACTTCAAGCATATTATTTAAGAAGAAATAATCTCGGTTTTACTTTGTATAAATAGAAAAAGATGACCATGTATATTATTTGACAAACCAGTAAATAACATGAGCAACCTTGATCTGGATAGTAAGCAGTTTAAAGATAGGTTCTTTAGTTAGACAAAAAAATTCTAATGGTAGCTACTTAGGTCACCATTAGTTGCAGTCATCAAATGTACATCATATCTACTTATTATATGCAGACGTAGTGTGAATAGTAATCTTTCCATTTAACATTAACTGTACACAAATGTTTTATCAAGGGTAAAATAGTACAGCGAAACAAAAATATGGACAGAAATATTAACTATTAAGGACATTTATAAAGTCGTTCCTGATAATTTAATCTATTTAATTCTAACCCCACCAAGATTAGTGTATTTTCATTTGAATAAACGAATCAAGTCAAGTTATAAGAGAGAGCTAATTGAATAAAAATTCAAAAACCAAAAGAATGTTTTTTTAAGAAATTGGATGTGTATTTCATTACAGATATAGTGAGTGTGTCAAATTCTTCGAAATAGGGTTCACCATTTTTAGTGATCTGTGTTTTGTAGTGTAGGAGTAGGTTGGAAGAAAGTTAGGGGCGGCCAAACCAAAACATGACAGAAATCCATGAAGTCACTGACAAGTGGACTGAGTCATGTTGGTGGATGTAGGCCATCTGGTTGGGGTCCGCGAGACGGAAGTCACCAATGGTTAGAGACCTTGAACGACACGGCTCAGAATCGTTTGCAATGGCGCACGTGCATCCACTGTTTGTGTTCTATGAAATTCTAACCTTCTTATTCTCAATCTTTTTAATTTATTATCCACTTTTTCTTAAATTTTGTTTATTTGATTAAATTTTAAAATTTTAAATTAGTGTGGCTTTTTATCAAAGGGAACCACTGTTTTGAAGCAATAATAAGCTGGATAGACCATAGAGGGACTATGGCGACAATTAGACTAGTCATATCGAATCAAATATACACGTCAATGACATTGAATCATGAATTGTTGTATAGAAATATATGGATGATGCCTTTGTTGCCATTGAATAAAATGACTCCACAAAGAACCTTTTTTCAAAACCTAATCGATACTCTCTTTCTCTCTCTCTCACTCATCTCACATGAAACTCACTTGTGAGAATGGAGATGAACACGACTAGCTATTATTTTGAGTTTGTTTAATTAACAAAAATCTAAGTAAACCTCTGAATCTCTAAGCATTCACCAAAAACCATAGGAATCTGATCGTTACATTGACCTAGATTAAGCACATCTTTTCAGTGAAAAAATCTCTTTGACCCTAAATCTCTTAAGGAGAGCTACCAACATAATTAGATATAAAGAGTATAAGCAAGTGGAACAGAAGTATTGAATTCACCTCCTACAGTGTAATAGTTTTCCAATGAATATTCGTGAGAGTGTAATAGAACGAGATGATTAACTGTCCAATGACAAACTGAATGATATTCCATGGATTTTTACGGCAGTTTTATCATACTACCGAGCGTGTAGGTTGAAAGACAGCTACGGGAGGCCAAACCAAAACAAAGCACACATCCATGAAGTCACTGACAACTGGATTGTGTCATGTTGGTAGGTGTCGACTAGCTAGCTGGTTGGGGCCCGCGAGATGATAGTAGTAATCCATGGTTAGAGACCTTGAATGACATGTGGCCCAAAACCGTTTGCAATGGTTCAGGTCCATTGATTCTTTCTGTCCTGTCAAATCTTAGTCTTCTGAATTCCTCATCACCTTTATATCTTTCTCATCTTAAGTTTATTTAACTAGATTCTACTTCTTGAATAATATCCTCCGACTCTCATCTCTCCGATTACTGCTGATACTTTTACCACCTCTACTACTATGGGATTTGAATTGATAATTGCATCTTTGCGATAATGTGGTATGGCAACCTAAACTAATGTATGTAAGCACGAAGTTCTATGTTGTAGCTGACAGACTGAATGACTTAACAATATATATGAAAATCTTACTTGATATAAACAGGAAAATCAGGCCATTCGCTTTGGAAGATATCAGGTGAATCATCACTCACTTTCTGATTTTCTGTAATTTCTCGATATACTGTGAATAATGATTCACAAGCAGGTCCTTCACTTGGTGTGATTTCCACAACAATTGGATATTCAGCAGAACCTTCTGAGTAAGAAAATCAAATTAAATGGAGTCAGTCAAAGTTGAGTTTTAAACACTTACAACAAATTTAATCTATCAAATGTACTATTTTTACCGTACTTACTTTAACTAAATAACACAACAAGGTAGGAAAATATACAGTAGATAACCCAAATTTAGTTTAAGCGTGCTATTCAATTGGTCGTAAATTTTTCCGGTGAAATATTTAGGATTTTTATTTTGAGAGACATAAACTATAGTTCAAATTTGCTAGCTTATTCGACACAATTTGACAGAATTGATATATTCCATTGAACCAGGTTTTTGTTCATTTGTGTAGATACTTAAAAATGCTGTGATATGCTGGGTGTAGTGAACGAGAACACAGGTGGGGCAACCGAATTGTATTTAACGAAAATTACAGAGTTACTCAGTAAAATAGGAAAACCATATCGTATATCGTTAATTTGCAAAATATCAATCCGTCATATCGAACTGGACTGTTCCTGTTGCAAAACATCAATCCATTGTCACTATTCATGCGTTTCATACAAATTCCATTGTGTTCTATTTCTTCCTTTCTTGATCTTCCCCCATCTGCTGCTGCCAGACATTACGTTGACACTCACGTCATATACTACTTATAAGTAGCTCGCACCACACTGGGAACAAAAGATAGTTTGTTTAAATTATGTTGTATTTCGTTCCATGTGGTTGTATTATGATCAAAAGAATGCGCATGTACGATGTTTACATCTCTAATCATATTATTCAATAATACGCCGCTATTACTATTAGAATTAATTAGTTATTTGCCAATTCACACACACATTGATCACTGAACAACAATCAAGATCTTAAGGCTTATTGATCATTGAGCTACTTCCGACCCAGAAGCCAATTTAAGGACATAGGTAGAAATCTGATCAGTGCTTTATTGTGTTCGAGATTTAATCATAACTCAAAAATTATACCGTAATACACCATTTATTTCTGACCACATCATAATGTACACACACAGCTTAGACATAAATGTTATAAAACCATTGTAAAAGGAAAATAACTGATGAATGATAAATATGGAACAATAAGATACAAACAAAAGTTTACAAACAGCTTAAGCGTCTCCTGATAATACGATGAAAATGTAGATAATAGTAGTCTGTTGTACGACAGTTTTAAAAGATACACATCCGCAATAATAATCGAATTATATCAGAAATACATTAAACAGTATCCTATAAAAACATAATGTATTTTTCGGAAGTTTGTTCCACAAGTTACTTTGCATCATTTCAGTGTTTTGTGCTAAAGCATTTAAGTGTGCTTTCTACAGTTGTATTATCGACAGCCAAATATATCAATCAAATAATAGTATTAGCAAAACTATAAAAATGACCGAGCATACAAAGTGAGTAGTCGCTCATTTTGAATCATAAAAGTTGTGTTGTTTTGAGGTTAGAAACCTCAACGCAGCGATTACAATATCTTGATGAAAAACAAAGTGGACCTGACATTTTCTAAAGCAAACATGGCCATCTAGATACACCTTTTCGATCCTAAATTCACGGCAAGCAACGAAACGTATGATTAAAGCTTTACAACACTTATCGATGTACAGAATTTAGGCAACAATCAGTGTATGAATAACCATGTAAAAAATGATAAATTACCAAGGGATTTATCAAATATGGCTTCAGCTTGTTCCAAAATGTCGTCAAATGTCATACTCCTATTTCTGTAACCAATCCACTTACTCTCTCGAACAGACACCTTCTTGACTCCCTGAAAATCGGTGTAATTTTTACATTTAACTCACTTCCTCATCATACCGCTCTAGTACATCGTACAAACGACTGTCCATCTTCCTGTTAAGCTTTTATAAATACCTGTGGAAAGTATATGTAACATGTATACAAGGTCGCTGGTAATTCGAAGTGTGAAAACCTAGACTGCATTGTACACTACTACACTGCAAGAAATTTAGATTCACTGAACAAACCAACACATTTAGACTGATCATTAAAATCAATATAATTTTGTTGTCATCATTATGTCTCTTTTTTGCTTGTCCTTATTACTTTGATTTTTATTTGAATGAAATTTCAAACATCAAAATAAATAGGATACGTGCATCAGAACTTGCTCCTCAAGACGAAACTTGAAGATTTATTTTCAAACATTACGCTACTCATGACCCTTATTACAAACAGTTTTTGACACAGACAACTAAACAAATCTTATCAATAAGCTCAACCTGATGGATAAGTCACCACTGACAGACAAACTTGAACTGCAACAGAGCAGCCGACTTAATAACAAACCTTGTAATAGTAAATTTCAGGCACATTTTTCAGCGGTTTGACATAAGAACTTTCTCGCAAATAAGTTCTTTTAAAATCCAGTTGTGGTGAAGATATATTGTTCTCATCCCTGGTTTGAAAATACAAGAATATTCTGGGGTGTATCCAAAGTCGAGTCACGGAATCCAGTTAGAAACTGGAACTAAAGCCTTGCTGAGCTGGATATTTTGTTTACGCATCTTTTATTGTTCTTCTAAACAACATCATTGGCACAAACTTCACATGAAGAAGTGAAGTAATCTAATTTATCCAGGTATGGTAGGTAGCTTGTTCTGCTAACCACGAACTCGATTGATTGTTATTGACCTTAAACCTTTCGTTATTTAGACCTTTATTTTCACCGTATCCACCTTTAGACCGTTTTTTCATACTATGTTTGCCCATGGATTTTCAGAAAGATCCACCTAGGAGAATGGAAGTCCATCACAACCATCCAGCTGAGCTACAGATTTTCCGCACCATCTCAAACCTTAAACACTCCTGAGAATCCACCTAAATACCTGATTTAGCTCAACTCGGAGTAAAGACGTAAAAGGAATACGCAGCAAACTGCACCGTAGTTCCAGCTTTTAAATCTTAGTAGTAGTAGTCAGTTCCTACAATTTGCCACTGACTTGACATGAAGGTTTAGCAGAGCTTTTCTAGAACCGTTTCTATAGTATCCAAGTAGACTTTTCAGAGTTAAAATAGTTGTGGACGGAACAGGAGCTATTTACCGATTAAATTCATTCATGCAATCAAAAAGGGAGGTCTCAGTATTAAACACTAACGGAAGACTTTATACGGAGTAGATGTAACCTTAAAAGCCAACTACTTAGACATGAACTAAACCGAAATTACATTCTTTACTTTCTGTCCAGTGACGTTCAACCAAAATCTCAATAACAACAACAACAAATAATTACGGTTTCGAAAGCATAAACACATAAAACAGTAAACTGTCGCTGTGAATTTGAAATCTTATCGTTTCGGACTAACAATGTCTTCATCTTTAGTACAGAACGAATGTTTCCAAACACATGCTATAAGTCTATCTTACTGATTCAAAAATCATGTATGTTCAATTATAAAATTAACACACAATATTTCCTTACGGATTGCGAAGTGCATAAGAAATGTCCACCAGAATCAAGGTCGAACCTGTTTTCGCTTCCTTTTCCCGATGTCCAATATGCACTACATCGTATACCTTTCTCACTGGCCAGCATTAACCATCTGATTTGTTTGCTCTCCCTAAATATTCTTCTCATATAACTCCAAGGTGTTTTTAAATTTCCACTGGATCTTTGTTTGGATACTCGACTGCAATAATTCTTGTCAGTTGACAACACCGTATGAATTTGTATGTTCCGTGATCTGGCTGAATGCGTTTTTCTCAGGCCTGAAGGGTTTATAGATCTCAGCAGCTTCCGGACTATCAAACTGGAGATCATTTAGTTGCGGTGTGGAAAGCAATTAGGAGAATTTTCTATTGATAATAAGATTTCAGAATAAAATAAATAAAAATTTGAAACCTGTTCAGGCATTCACTGGAGTCACACCAATTCCCAGCGGAATGGAAACAAGCTACTCTCTCTCCAATCTTCAAAGTAGGAGATATAAAGGACCCAGCCTGTTACAGACCAGTCGCGCTACTACCTATATTATCAAGGTTTATGGATGGGCTAGTGGACGAACAAATGAGGGAGTACATGGATAAGAATAAAATACTCCATGAAGCTCAACACTGGTTTCGGAAAGGCAGGTCGTGTGCATCTAATATTCTCATCGTACGGGACAGTTGGACATCCTGCTTGGACCGTAAAATACCAGTGCACGTAGTATTTCTCGACTTCGACTTTGACACAGTGCCCTACGCACGCCTAATCGAAAAAGTTGTGGAAATGGGCTTCACTGACCCACTCGTATCTCGGCTCAGAAACTACCTTGAGAATAGAAAGTTTCGCACCAAGGTAAACAGGGTGCACGCGAGTTGGAGAGTATCCACCTCAGGAGTTTCACAGGGGACCATCCTAGGCCCACTCCTCTTCCTGATATTCATTAACGACCTGCTAAGCTTAGTTAGCTCATCGGCACTGATCTAAGCAGACGATGCGAAGATCTGGAGGTCCATTAGAAGCGAAGAGGATTCGACTGAGCTTCAAAAGGAACTTACATCCATTGAGAAATGGGCAGTGAAAAACGGTTTAACACTCAACCAACCGAAGTGGCACGTCATGCATTTCCTGCCTCATATGACGCAAACCACCTACACTCTCAATGGAAGTGCGCTCCCTAATGTCTCCTCAAAGCGCGATCTTGGTTTAATAACCATAGAAAGCCTCCACACGAGTCCGAACTATGTAGGGGACGCAGCCAAGGCAAATGCGACTCTTCACTTTACGCGAAGACAGCTTGGTGCTATAACCCCGAAATTATTTTTAACCCTCTTTAAGACGTACGCGCGCCCACACTTGGAGGTTCACAACGTCATCGCACCCCCTCTGCTTAAAAGAGACATTAATCTCTTGGATCGAGTGCAGAGACGAGCAACCAAATGGGTGATAGGGTTGAAAAATAAACCGTACGACGATAGACTCCAGCTCTTGGGATTATTCCCACTGAGCTACTGGAGAATCAGAGGTGACCTGATTATGGCGTACACCATATTAAACACGCCAAACCATCCCGATGTGAGCATCTTACCGATGCATCACCACCACTCCCGTCGAGGCAATCCTCAAAAGATTGCATATCAAAGAGCAAACACTCAGATTCGTGCACACTTTTTCTCATTGCGAGTCGTCGCAACTTGGAATGCTCTCCCAGCCGAGGTAGTTACACCCCCCTCAGTGGTGTGCTTTAAGAAGAGACTTGATAATCACGTACTTACATGCGGACTATCATCTTCCTCTTGGACAAGCTGTGCCTGATGCATATCTTGAGACCTCCTAGTTGTTACCATCGCCATCTCCTCAGATCACTTAATTAATCTTTCTAGCCTATTCCTCTCCCTTGCTTACATTTCGGTCCTCTTTCACAATCTTCACTACCAATTAATAAACTAAATTCATCTATACATTACTCAGTTCTGAAATTTTACTCATATTATCATTTTAATTTATCCTTATTACCCTTATTACTCTCCACATTGTAACTAACTGATCTCCGGTTTGGTAATGTGACGGCTGCTAGTATCCAGAAACCCTACTGCCCTGAAACAAACGTTTCATTCAAATCCCGAGACATACAAACTCACAACCAACTGCCAACTGACTAGAATTAGACAGTCGAGTGGCTAGACCTCCATCCATTGCACATTACCGAACACCTGGAATCGTACCGAAAGAACAAGAATCGAGCGCGAAGAAATCAAATTGGTTTACACTAGCTCGTGAAAAAGATATTAGATATTGGATATTGGAAATATGAGTCTAATAATTGGTAGCTGAGCTTGTGCAAGGAAACAAAAAGTAAGCAAGGAAGATGTTCAATTTTTGATGTGCGACTTCTATTGATAATAAGATTTCAGAATTAAATAAATAAATATGAGTTAAATAATTGGTAGCTGAGCTTGTGCAAGGAAACAAAAAGTAAGCAAGGAAGACGAAACGGAGATGTTCGATTTTTGATGTGCGACTTCTCGGGGGTTACCTAGGGGGTGTGGTGATGATGTATCGGCAAGATGCTCGTGTTATGATGGTTATGCTGAAATATAATGTTGAATGCACAACTTGAACAGTCGCGAATCTCCTATAATGCAGAGGGCGAAGTTCCAAGCTTTGGGATCTGTATTGTTAGACCGTCCCTGAAATCGATTTTAAGAGATGTATGTAGCATTCAAGGACAGGAGGATAGACGACCACACAAACTTGGATATGTGCAACGTTTAAGTAGGGATTGATTCAAAAACAGATAGTTTCATTGCATCTTTCAGGGATGCACGATGGGCATCTGGAGGGTTGTATGGTGTGTGTTCTAAAGAAGGGCTGGAAGTAGGAATATAGGCTTGATTGTAATGATCAGTAAATTTGGGAGCGATATAGTTAGAGGGAGAAAGGTATTCAAAGACAGGCATGGTGAGAGAAACATGTGAGGTAGGAAATGACAAGTGTTGTTCGTCAGAGTTAACTGATGACTCCCAAAGAACAGATGAGGCAGTCGCTAGGGGGCATAAGGGTGGATCGTTTCGTAAGTCCATTGGATAAGGTATAGTGGAGTTAGTCAAATCTTTGGACAAGGTGAAAGGTGGTTTGACAAAAGGACCAGACATAAAGGTATTACAGCTAGAAGGGGAAGACAGCGTCAAAGATCGATTGTCATCCATTACATCACAGAATGCAAAGCATGACTTGTAGGAGGGGGAAATATCGCCCTCAACAGCTGGAGGTAGAAAAACAACTCTGTTGAGGGGGTGAGCGTTAAAAAAGGGTTAGGTAGATTTTTTGGAGAGACTGAAGAATTGCAAAAGGTATTTCGGCTAGGGTGGTGTCTAGGAACATTAGGCGGATGCCCAAGCAGGCTAGTGTTACGAGTTATTTCAGCAACTCTAGGCATCCTAGTCTTTTTGTACGCAATCAAGGGTAAAGGCTTTGGGTTAGAAACGGGGAGGCGCCTACGGTTAGAGTTTAGGGAGGTATTTATGGTATGAGTGTCCGTATTCTCAGGAGTCCTAGGGTTTAATTTTAGAAGTATAGTAGCGTCCCGAGTAGGAGAGATAGGGGGCAGGCATTGTTGTTTATTAGGTATGTTAAGTACTGCAGACTGACGGTTAGGGCGAGTAGCACGTCTCATGTGGGAATTTCGAACCACTAGGTCTGTCCCTATATCTTTAGGACAATGTTTATGTATTACAAAAGTGCGATTGACCTGTGGTTTACATGTAGATGGGCTTTTGACTACGGGACAAGTAGCAGCACTTTTGTTCAGGGGACAGGTCTTCGGACTAATAGTCACTTTGGATCTGTTCTCCGTTTTAGGAGGGGTGGAATTAGGTATAGTAGGGTTAATGTAACATTCATGATTGACGCTGCTACTAGTACACGAATCGACCGGCATGGTTGAAAGGCCATTGGTGATACGGCGTTGTATAGTAGTTCTATCCCTGATAATTCTAATCTTCTTAAACAAAGGAATGTGTCTAAGCAGTGACTGACTGTTAATAAAGTGATTGGCTTCGATGACAGTACTAAATTGAAGAAGAATGGGACAGGAATATTTAGTCTGAATTTTACGAAGCCTGTGTGCTAAACACCAAGAGCCGGACAATCCACACTCTTTAAGGAGAGTGTTTTTAACAGAATTGAGGCTAGCACTGTCAGGTACGTTATAAACAATCGCATTCTGCATGCATTGAAGTCTTTTTAACAATTCAGAGGATATGTGGTCAATTACTATTTTCGTTTTTTTAATGATATCGAGATCAGGATTTTCTGGAACACTGACCAGGTATTTATAATGTAGTAAATCCTGAATGGTTTGCTTGATATCGAATGTACTTAAGGTGTCCTCAGAGCTAATAGTGGGGAATCTATCGGAGTTCAGGTCACAGCTGTTGAGGCGAATAGGATGATGAACAGACTTGCTACAAGTGTTTTGCGGTTGCTCAGTCTGCGTAAAGTCATCCGAAGTTATGAACATATCTGAAAGTGAACAGTCCAGATCAACAGTACTGGATATCCTATGGCAAAAAGGCCTAGAGACATTTTTCGGATTGCTATGAATTTGATCCGCTTGCGGGCTCGTCAAATGTTTAAGACCAGCCACACTTTCTAACAAGTGCTCACAGGAATCTATTTCAGATGAAACACAAGAAGTAGTGGATGGTGTCGAGTCACTCGGAAGGAGGTGAGTTGTGTTTATATCAACGAGCGGGATACCAGGTAAAGAGAAGTCGTTTACAAGTTCACGGTAAGATTCTATTAAGCCAGTGGGGAGATCAGAATAAGATACGGATGGAGCGATGTTCTTACGTTTGATTTTATCGAATTTAGTAGCTGATTTGGATCTTTTACAGATGTTATATTCGGCAGGTGAAACCGAGGGTTTTTTAGATAAACGTGACATCTTTGTGGAATTATTTGTAAGCAGAGTTGTGTTACTATAGGCACAATCTCTGTTTGGAATTATGAAGCCAAAAACTACAGCGAAAATTACTAAAATAAGAATAACCGAAGAAAAGTTGTAAGAGAT